CCCATCTTTAAGGTTGGGGCAGTAAGCACTGCCTATGTTTCAACACTCAAGCCCTGACTTCATAGCATGGGTATAGATAGGCAGGGAGTTTATTTACAGAGGGCAGGACTGAACTTTGCATGTGAGCATATACAGAAAATGATAAAGATCGTTGTGTCCTATTAGTAATTTACAGAATTGTGATTTGCTCCACCCAGTACACCTATAATTGAATTCCTTAGTCATAAAATCATTGAGACCAAACAAGTTCAGATATCTTTTATCTAAACCCTTTTTCTCCCTCACCATCAGTTAGCATATTTCTTATGGAGCTTTTCTTCTTTTTATAGATTCATTTGTCTTAGTTATAAATTAACCCCACAAGCAACTCTCCCAGCCACCCAGCTCTACAGTTTCCTGTGTACCAGATTTTTTTTAACCTCACAATTTATGGTATACAGGCCATTTAAACTGCCAGTTGGTAAATGATGTCCAGTAACCATCTTTAGATTTTCTTTTTTTTTTTAAAGGTTCCTAAGGATTAATGGCCCTCTAAGCAGAGATTCTCCTTAGAGCCAGACACCCTGGCAAAGAAGTGGAATATAACTGCTGAAGACTTGTTACTTCTTTTTTAGTTTTTAAAACTGTAATAAAATGAGATAAAATTTACCATTTTAACCATTTTTAAGTGTGCATTCAATGGCATTAAGTACATTCACAATGTTTGTAACCATTCTCCAATACTTTTTCATCTTACAAAACTGAAACTATCCCCATTAAATACTAACTCCCCATTCCCTTCCCGTGCCCCAGCCCGTGGTAACCACCATTCTACTTTCTGTCTCTACGAAATTTGACTACTTTAGATGCAACTTCTGTTATTTCTTGTTTCACCTAAAAAATGTGCACTAGTGTAGTTTGCTAAATTAGTTGAACATACACATGAGTTACCGGCAATTAAATTCAGGGTCGAGTTCCAAATACTTCACATTTCATTTTTCATGCCAAAATGCTTGAATTTAGACCGTTTATTTTCAGATGCCAAAGTACATACCTGCCCCTAACTTTGTCTTTTAAGAGTTTGCTCTTTTGATTTTAAAAGGCTTTATGCTTTTCCAAAGTTAAACTGATTTTCTAGCAACTTAATGCTGTCATTGATTTCCTTTAAGAATGAAAGATCCCTTAGTACTACTTGTATTTATTGAATTCCAAGACATTTTGCCTAGAAACAATATGGTCTTCTTCTCTCCTCCCCCATTCAAACAAATATAAGACTACGAGTTCTAAATTCTTTTTCAAATCCTGTCTTCGGTAAAAATGATTTATGGATCAGGAGATTTTTTCAAAGTATTTCATGAAATACTTTGACAGTTCTGGTTTGAACATTCAAATCAGACCCTCACTGTCACCAAGAAAAAACACTGCTAAGATGTGGTTCCCGAGAAGGCAGAGTTTTGTGGAGTTATTCCCACTCACAGGTTTCTAAAGGGCAATAAGCAACTGGCTAAAGCACTAAGTACACTAAATAGAGGTAGAGGTAGGGATGGGAGTGTGTATGAAAAGGATTAGACTTGTAGAGGTAGGGATGGGAATATGTAAAAAGGATTAGAAAACAGCTCAAGAAATGGTCTTGATGAAAAGAATGCCCCTGCCTAACTCTTTTCTAAGATTTGTAAATGCAGAAACTTACTCCACAAATTAGCAAAAATCTAATGAGAGTGATTTACTGACTCCACTGTGACCTGTAAAAAAACTTCTTAACTTGATAGAGTTCCTTAGTGCCCTTTAGGCAGCCCCCACAGTTACCACAGTGCCGTCCCAGTACAATTATCAATGCTGATACACTAAAGCCAAGACACAGCATCCACTTGAGTTCCAGCAACAGATGAATGGATAAAGAAAATGTGGTTCCCATACGTAATGGAATATCATTCAGTCATAAAACAGAATGAAATCCTGTCATTCATGACAACATGGATGAGCTTGCTGGATATTAGGTTAAGTGAAATAAGCCAGACAGATACCAAATGCTCTCACTCATACGCGGGTTTAAAAAGTTAATCTCATAGAAGTGGACACTAGAATAGGGGCTACTAGAGGCTGGAAAGGGCGGGGGATAGCCAGAGATTGCTTACCAGATACAAAATTACAGCTAGATACAAGGAACAGTTCTAATGTTCTATAGCATGGTGGGGTGAATATAATTTACAACAACCTATTGTATATTTTCCAACAGCAAGAAGAACAGATTTTGAATGTTACCAGCACAAAAAAATAGTAAGTGTCTGAGGTGATGGATATGCCAATTATCTTGATTTGATCATTACATATTGTATGCATGTATGGAAATATCAGACTGTACCACATAAATATGTGCAATTGTGTGTTAATTAAAAATAATAATAAAAGCAAAAAAAGACGTAATACATTGAGAATGGCACAATACTATAAAGTATTTGGATTTCACCAGTTTTCCTACTAATGTCCTTTTTCAGCTCTAAGATCCAATCCAGGATCCCACATTGCCTTTAGTTGTCATGCAATATTCTCCTCCAAATCTGTGGTGGTTCATTAGTAAAGATGTGTCTTTTATGCCTCTATACTGTTGAACGGTGAGGGTCAGATATTTTGGAGAATGTGTCTGTATTTAGGTTAAAGCTTTCTCATAGTCAAATAAGATTAGGAATGTTTGGGAAGAATACCAAAGGCATGATGTGTCCTTTTCAGGACATCCTATCAGGGGCATATGAGGTCACTACATCTTATTATTCTTGATATTGTCCCTGCTCATGTGGTTAAAGGTGGTGTCTGTCATGATTCTTCACTGTAAAGTTAGCATTTTTTCCTTTTGTAATCAGATACTTTGAGGTTATGTAAATATTTTCTTTCACCTTAAACTTTCACTCACACTCTGTTGCCCAGGCTGGAGTGCAGTGGCACAATCTCAGCTCACTGCAACCTCCACCTCTTGGGTTCAAGTGATTCTCATGCCTTACTCTCCTGAGTATCTGGGATTATGGGCACCCGCCACCACACCTAGGTAATTTTTGTATTCTTTTTTTTTTTTTTTGAGACGGAGTTTCGCTCTTGTTGCCCAGGCTGGAGTGCAATGGCGCAATCTCGGCTC